GTGGTCGGAGCCAGGGCTCTCTTCCCACGCCTTCGGGAAGCCGTGGTGCCCTGGTTCGTGAAGAAACTCAAGTCTGCCATCCAAGACGAGGACTTGTTGACCCTGGGACGACTCTGGAAAGAGGCCCGCGGGAAACCCTGAGTTTCAATTGCGGGGATTCTCTGCTCTTGCTGTGACGTCTGAGCCGAGTTAGTGAGAGTAAAATCCGTGAGAAGGCGGACTTCGAGCGGGCTCCAAAGCTGCTGGCTCATGTCGTGCGTGTCCTCTCCGTCTTCGATGGCGAACCTCAGCTCCTGGACTGGTTGGAGTCCATGACAGGCCCCTTGCTGTGCTTGTCTGGCGTTTTCACAGTCACAGTTTTTGCGAATGCTGTGCAGGGGAAAAGAGCAGGGCACTACGGTACATCCAGCTCCTGAAGGAGATGCTGATGCTGGCAGCCTCCAAGGGCACGCGCCTTGTTCTGGACGATCGAGACATGCGCGGCGATGCTTTGGAGTTCCAGGCTCGTCTTGGAAGCCCTAAAGAAGCAGAATCAGCCCAAATCCTGACCGTTAATCGTAGACCATAGCAGAGTTGTGGTCAGCTTGCGTGTCCTCAGGCCGTGTGCAGCTTCCTGAAAAAGGCAGTCTTTGTGGAAAAGGCCCCTCCTTCCTTCTTTTTCATGGCTTGAGCCTGGGACAGGGCTGCCATAGGCCTGTCCGCCGTTGACAGGTGGATCTCTCCAGGAACGACCTCGGAGCAGAGGAGGGTCAGGCAGCAACGCAGGGCGCAGGGTCTTTGTCCACGTTCCGGACTTGCAGCGACCTGCATTGTGAGCTTGGGCCCGGTATCAGCTGACAGGCCCTGGCCGCCAGCATCGCTGCCAACGGCTCCATCATCGACTTGAAGCTGTCGGGAAATTGTCTTGGAACCACCGGCACGCAGGTGCTGTATACCGTGTTTTCACAGGGCCATACTTTCGGCCGAATTGTCTTTGGCTCCCTGCAGGCGCTGGTGCGCATTCGAAGCCTTCGGCACCTCGACGTCGCTGGCAACGGCCTGGGTGCGGCCGGCTTCCAGGCTGGGTTCGAGCAGGGTGTAGTGCAGCTTAGGCTCCCGCTCTTCTCTCTCGCAGGCCTTGGCAGAGGCTTTGGCTGAGACTTCCCTGCTGGAGTCTCTGGATGTGGGCTCCAACGATCTCGGGCCGGAGTGCGCTGAGGCATTGGCAGTGGCATCGTGTTGAGGTGTAGGGTCGTAAGGGCTAGCCATCACATCAGGTCCCTGCCGTAAGGAGCTTCGGTTTGCAAGACCTTGTCCTCTCAGAAGGCAGCAAAATGAGAGAAGTGTTGCGAGTCGCAGAGTTCTCCATGCTGTCAACCCTTCATCGCCTTTGTCGGGACGGGAAGCTCCTGTTGATGCTGCCAACGAAGCTGAAGCTCATCCGTGTGGTCGGCCATCGGGTGCGAAGATATGCGAAGATCACTCGTTAAGACAACTACGTCGGAATTTCAGGAAGTATGAGCAACCGCATCATGCTCCAACCTTGCCAGACGTGCACAGGCACAGGTGCTTCGAAGCTCGGGAGACTGTCTGCAGGAAGTGTATCACAATGACGCCAAATATGTAGATACAGTGGCCATTGTGGTGTGAATCTCTTGTTCTGCCAGACAGAGCTGTCTTTGAAGATGTGTTTGGGAATGTCGTTCTCATCGGTGATTATTGATACAGTCGGACGGCCTTTAGGCTTATTCTGGGATCTTTTCATGTCTTATCTGAGAGTCACCTAGATATCCCTGGAAAGAGCCCAGCAAAGCCTTCAAGGCTGAGTTCAGATTTGCATGAGCCATGTTCCTGCCGTGTCATCCTTGTGTACGGACCCTGCTTCGACGGTCCCTGGTACACTTCTTGGTTTGATGCGGTCCTTTTTAGTCACAGAAGATGTCGGAGAGGGAGGGGCAAATTCACTTCGACAGGTCCTTGCACTTATTGCATGCTCCGTGCCCAGCCTCGACAATGGAAAATCATATACTGGGTCACATGATTTACCAATCTAGCCAAACGTCAGCGGATGCCCTTGAGCCGGTGACGGACAAGCGCGAAAACTTGGCAAACTGCACTTGTGACTGAGATCAAGGAGAAGCCGTGTCATACGTGCTGTAGAACTTGGAAAGATTCAGATTCAGGTTCGATCAGGAAGCGTGGTGTTATCGTGTGTTGGCTTCTGATGCTTGGCTGGAACACGGGCATGGTCCGAATTGCTCATGACCCGACCGAAGTTAGTCACAGCGGATGACCCCTTCCAGTTGCCATCCTTTGTCTTTGCTTCGGTGCTGCTTTGCCGGATCTCCGCTGGCATGTCGCAGGTTTTCGTTCGAATAGCTATCCCTGACAGTTACTTATTTGTTGTTCTGATGTTTTGTTGGAGCCGGGAGTGCCAATTGACTTGCCCTGGACCAGCCTGTCTCTGTGTCTTGTACGCAGATTTCAATTGCATGCATTCCGAGAGCATTGCATGCAGGCCGTGAAGACGGTCCTGAGCATCGCGACTCTGACGGACTTCCGAGCCGACCAGAACACCTTGGCGGGTGCAGTTGCCAAGGCCTGCAATGAGCCGAGGGCGGTTTGTCAGCCTGGTGCCTGGCGAATCATTTTTTTGTGCATCACGGAGGCCGTCACCGCAGCCCAGCGCAAAGAAAGCCTCCGCCAGCTGAGTGTGGCCGGCAACGACCTGGGCACAGCGGGCTTCCAGGCTGGGCTCGAAAAGCTGTCCGAACTGTGCTGACACCGCCTTTCCTGGACCTTTGTCGCAGGCCTTGGCAGAAGCACTGGTCGAGACGGAGACGCCTGTGGAGATTATCGATGTTGGGTCCAATGGAATTGGGGCGGACGGTTCCGAGGCCTGGACAGGCAGCATGTACTTGTCCAGGCAGAGTCTAACGTTGAGTCGGCGAGTCGGCTCCATGCAGTGCTGATTTCTTAAGAATCCGTAAGATCTGCTCTGTGCTCCCTGTCACCGCTCCAGAGCCACATCGAAGCTGCGGCTTCGTGAACCCAATTTTTGTATCAGCTGGGAGGGGGGTAGTCAACCTTGCGGAGCGTAGTGTGCCATGTAGATGATGTGGCATGATGTGGTATCGGATATCGAGCCGTGGGAGCGTCCACCATTTTGCCTTTCTAGAGCTCTGTTCGCTTTCAGGCGGATGTTGTGGCTCCGCTGGCCGATTTGTGCCTGTCGGGGGTGCAGCGTGTGTTTGTAGGAAAAAGCTTGTAGGTCGCACATGTTGTCTGCCTTGAGTTATGTTCGATCGGCTGTATGCCGCACGGTAAGTCGTACTGCAGTCACATGCTCCGATGCATCAATCGCGCAGAAGTAAGACGTACTGCAGTCGCATGCTCCGATGCATCACCTCGGCATGTTCAGGCCTTGCAGAAGCTTCTCCTTACCAAGACCCTCAAGGACTTCCGTGCTGCCCACAACGCCTTGGGGGATGCGGGGGCCAAGGCCGGCAATGCAAGGCACCTTCCTTCTTCGTGCGTTGCCTCAGTTGCCAGGTCGTGGCAGAATGCCTCGACTCCGATCGCTGTGGGATCGAACGACTGAGCCTCGTGGCCAGCGGCATCGGCACAAAAGGACTGGAGGCTAGGACCTTAGAGGGCATGTGGTGCTCCAGTCAAGGGCCCACCAAACATGCAGGCTTTGGCCTCCAGTCAGCCACGTGCGGTCGTTCAGCTCCACATCTCCGGAAACCTTATGAACCTAGACTGGGACGCTCGAGCGGAGGCCAGGCCGGGCTGTGTCCCGTGGTCCCGTACAGTACCCTGTGCAAAACCGAGGCTGCCGCAGACCTGAGTCGGTGCTTCAGGCTGATGCACGTGGTGGTGGCACGTGAGGATAATGCGACTGCTGTTGACAAAGCCCAGGAGGTCCGTGCCTGGGGCCTCCGTGCCAGCAGAACTAGAGGGCTCCCTTTCGAAAGGTCCGGCAGGCTCTCCAAGATGGCCCCGTCGAGATCTTTTGGAACAAACGAGCCAGTTGCAAGGCATCGCGACGGGAGCTCATTTTGTTGCGAGAGCACAACTTCCAGCATACTTCCTGCTTTTGTCAGGAGCTGGCTGCGGCCTTGCAGGGCCAGTCTCGGCTCCAGGTGTTACAGGTCGAGGAGGGTAAGGACGTCGAGGCGGAGGGGCTTAGGGTTTAGGGCAGTTTAGGGTTTAGGGGATGTCGAGGCGGGGTCTCGTTTGCCTGGGTGCGGTCTCGCACTTCTTTGCCAGGCCGTGTTGGAGGCCCTCGAGGGCCACGTCGAGCTGAAGAGCCTCGTACTCGACAAACCCGACGGCTCGCTGTCGGAGGTAGGTGTGTTTGATGCCATTGAACAGCCTTCGTCAACAGCAGCAAATTCCTTCTAGGACGCATTTCCAAGAGTTCGATGAACCTATTGCAAGGGGACACCGGCACTTGTGGCACTGCCTGATCGCTAGGCCCTCGGCTTCGCCCTGGATGGAAGGTCTGGTCTTGAGGAGCTGATCTTACGAAACACTTTCAAAAATCCAGAAAGAGTGCAGGCAGGGTATGTAGTTCCGTGCTGGTTCAGTAAACCGCATTGTCACCACGGCCCTTCGCTCGGGAAAGCCACTCCGCCGCCAGGCCATTGCGCCCGCTCTCAAGGGCCTCGCTGCCCTGAAAGTCCTTGATCTAAGCGGAAACGATCTCGGGCACGACGGGGCGAAGGCACGTCGTGGGAGAACCGGCAGTTGAGATCGAGCCTTCAAGCTCTGTGGGGAGATTCTGGTGATTCTGAGTGTGCTGAGCCTCGAATGCGTGTGGGGTTTGGAGCTTCGCTGCGGATCTCTTTGGACGTGATGTTATGATATGTTTTGAACATGAACATTTGCAAAAACATCTTGTTGTCGAAATGGAAGGCGTTCAGGTTCTCCTCGGTCCTATCTTGGGGGAA